GGAGCGTTTAACCAGTTCTACATTCTGAAAAAGTTCTTCAGTTTTTCAAAGAACTTAAAAATTAACAGGAATTTTGTTCTTTATTTGTCCTAAATAGAGAACGCAAATTCTGTTCTTCAGCTCTCAAACTGATTTTCATTTCAAAATTTAAATGGGGGGATTCCCCTTAAATCAAAAATCAAATGCTGATGAAGCAAAGAAGATTCTAGCTGTTCGGAAAACTTATCGATTGCTAATTCCACATAAGACCAGACATTACTCCGCCAGATTTGCCTTTAGAAAAGTCGTCAACGATTTTAAAAAACCTTTCTATAACAGAACTTTTTTCAAGGGTTATTACAGTGATAGTTTATTAGACTTCTTCGAGATAAAATAAATTCATGTTGAACTTTGTGCAAGTTTGTTCAAAGACTTTCTTATTTGTCTAGATTATTATACTTTACCGCGACGACTAGCGGCATAGATCAGCTGCGTGGACTGAACTGGAGCGATGTGTGGGTGATTAGTTGTGAGTTGATCTCCTGTCCAACTCGGTAGAGACGATTGTGCGCTGTTTTCGGAAGCTACGCACTCGGTAGATAATTCAGGTAGTATTTCTCCTTCGTCTTCTATAACCTCTTTTTCCTCTTCGCAAAAGTCTTCGTTGACCGAAACTGCTCTCTGAGAACGGTCTACTTCATCATTTGATTGCTGTCGTGGTGCTGCATCATTTAAAGTTGCTTTGCGATCTGTTTGAGATCGAGTCGGTGGTAGATCTTGCTGGTCGTCGAGGACGGGTTCTAGATCACCTATAATTATTCCTTTGAATACATCCTGCATTTCTGGATCAATCTTCAAAGAAAGAATATAGGGTTAGAGAATCTGAAAAAAGAAAGAGGTACAGCTAATATAGAAATAAACTTACGAATTTTCCTTTCTTTTTCCTTTGTCTCATTTGATCGAAATCATTCAGTATTTTTTCCACCCTAAGAAGGCAATGACGAATATTTTATTATAAATTAACCTTTTTTTAAAGTGCATTCCGTTATCTCACTTTATCTTCATCTTAGAAAGATCACTTTCCATTTGTCTTTGCTTTCCTTCCTCCGATATAATAATATCTTTCCAATATTCTTCTGCTATTTCTTTTTCACGTCTCATCTGATAAGTTTCAACATAGTTGTTCATCAGTTTTATACTACTATCTACTGACTTCTTCCGCCGTTTCAATTCTGCGTCGGGTTCCGTTTGTCGTTTTCTTCGACAACACATCCTCATCCTCATGTAAACGCGTGTCATACAATATTTTCTCCAAAAAAATTGTAAAAGATAAAAGATATAACAGGGGATATTTAATGGCGGTGGTAACAACGTTTTTCCAAGATATTCTTGTACAAGTAGAAATCTCTGATAACGCCATATCAACTTCGACTCTGCTTCTATGTGATGAATTGTGGCGCTAAAAAAAGTTTTGTTAATGTAGCGTAAATATAGTTAATAATTTTCCGCTCAAAATAACTTACTTAAACATTGCAATTAAAACATTTAATAAGAGAAGATTAGCAATAACCACGAACAGAATTGCGAATATAAACACGATGGTGCCGTAGGCATCATTTACTAAAATCGAAAAAGTTTCGCTTTCTTTCCGTGAAGGACTTCAAATTATAACAGTTTGTGACTTTCTCACGATCTCACCTCAGAGTATGAAGTTTAAGCAGAGGAAAAGTAAGTTTTTCTCTGAACATGCTCAAATAGTGGTGTCTAATCCGCTCGTAAACTCAACTTCTTAAATTTCTTTTTTGACATGTGACGTGGATAAGCGAATTTTTGCACTCTCCATTCTTTGCTAATACATACAACTGGTTGCACCACCATACGGCTCATCAATTTGTCCAAATACTTTCCAAATACCCCAGTTTGTTACATCTCTTAATAGTTGCCAACTCCATAGGTTACTGCCGCCTCCTAACACGGTCACATTATACAACCGTCCATCATCTGTGTAAGTCCAATTGACTTGTGAGGATGTCGTTAAGAGAGACCACGAAGTTATTGAAAAACCAAATAAAAGTATCAATATAAAGCAGACAAATATTAAAGCTGCTTGTTCCATCTCGAAAAAGAGAAAGAACTTAAAATAGTGATCCATTTTGGAAAAACTCTTGCTAAGTTACCATTTTATATATCATAACAAGTTTTGGACCTAGTTTCTCGTAAGCAGCGAAGAAATGTAATAATCTTGCCGACCATATAATCAGATCAATACACATAAATATCCTAAATAGGTGTGACCATCAACCAAAAGTTCTTTTGTAAATAAACTAGCTTCGAAACGTTATGTGAAAGTGTGACACGTCGTAAGTGTGAAAACGGAAAGTGATCTCGAATTCACAGTCCTGTCTCTTGCTCAACCGCCAACAATAGAATCAAATACTCTCAATAATTCTTTTAGAGTTTTCTGGGACTCACTTTGAAACAGTGAAAGCCGTTTCATTTACAATAAAACGTGTTATAAAGCCAATCAGATAGAATACACCACCGAGTATATCAAGGACATTCCAAGTATCTTCAATGTAATCATACTTATGTATAATATGTTTCCGTAGCTATAGATTTGAGAGGGATATAACATATTCTTTGCAATTTTGTTAGGAAAAGATTATTTTTATTACCTGCTCGACTTCTTCAGCCATCAAACTCCATATAAATAAATGTAAGAATATTTCTGTAATCGGAATGAGAAGATTAGATCGTCCGGAACGTTTTTCACCATAAATATTTAAAGGAAAGTAATCTACTAAGAGTACGTAGCTGAATAACGTTAAGAATGCAACGAAAAATATCTAAAAGAAATAATATATGTTACACTATACACGAATGCTGTATAAGCACTCCTTCACTCGAATATTACCGTATGATAATAGAAACGAACGACAGGTGCTTTATAAAAATAATACATTTTATGATAGAACCTTAGTTGTTTTGGGCCATCCATTATTCTAAATTCGAATGTTGATTCAAGAGGACGCTGTTAGATTAAGAAATTGAGAAATTCTTAGTAAACTCACGGTTTCCGGAAGATAACAGGATACGTATCACGGCCCTTCTCGTCCGTATTCTAAAAAAAGAACCACACTTTATGCAAACTAAAGAAACCACAAACATAATGAGCAGAGCACTCAAATCCCACTTCTCGATTTCGTCTATGACTAGGCCAATAGCAGTTTAGAGCTTGTTCTCCCTATTCCAATAACGTATTATAACTTGATCCTACTTTTTTCGTGATTACAGATGTAGGAAAACAGACAGCAAATATTGGTAGAAGAGGAAATATCAACGCGCAAAGGAATACCTTGAATGAGAAAAAGATAAGGATGTACAGTACAGTGAGTTGAATCAATTTTTCAACGTTTCTACACAGACCCAAATCTGAACAGATATATGTAGAATTCTTTGTTGTTCATTAAACTTGTGATACCATTCTTTATGAAGATGTTTTTGTACAGTCTCTGTAGCTAGAAATGTTCGACAATCTGCCTCTCGTGCTATATCTAACGGTTCACAATTATAAAATGCAACTGCTTTAGTGATAATTAATTCAATTGCAAAATCTTGATCTATATCATAACATGCATCGATTATATCAGCTGCATGTTTGTCAAATTCCCTAAAACGTAAGGTTGGCGAATACATAAACTTTTTTTTTATTCGAAGAAACAATAACTCTATAAGGCATTTTTCACAAACTTTGCTATGTCATTGAACTTCTTTTCTTTGTGTTTATCTTTTTTTGCAGCACGACGATATATTTTCGATGCAAGCAAACAGCCCAAAGTCTGGTTCTACGATAAAAGATATGAAACGATATTCACTCCACAAAAAAAAGAGAAAAAAATCATGGCATAACGCAGAATTTCTAGTAGTTAAAAGCGGTTCCTTTACGTACACGGCATCTTGAACATAAGTACTTAGCCATTTCCGGACAGTTCATATATATAAACCATAAGAACAGCTTCTCTGCGTTTTCCAACGCTTCAGGACCTTCCTCCAACTATAGACAGAGAACAAATAAGTCTATTTTAACACCCTGTTTATGAATTTATACGAAATAAAGCTCACATGATACTTCAAGTAAGCACGATTGTAATTCCAAAGAGTGTCTTTTTTCTCCTTGTCATAAAGCTTATAGGGCAGTTTAGCAGTATTCTAAAAATACAAATATACTACCTTAGAAAGTTTGTTTCATCATAAAAGTTATTTAAAACGTATACCTTCGTTGATTTAAATATTATTCTAATATCACGATTATTTAGCTTGTCAAATGAGGCTCCATTTTCAACTAGTAAAGCTACAAACCTCGAATTATTTCGCCGTAAGGCTTCAGGTAATGCACGAGGCATCAAAGTTTTGATCTATAAAAGAGAAACGATGGTCTATTTTGAAAACCGTTAAACAAGTTCTGCTTTCTCAACTTACAAGAAAACGTTTAGTTTGAGGTACTGGAATACTGTTATCTGTGGTTTCTGGTAAAATATTCGTTCTGGCATAATTAATGTCATTTGAGATCTAACGTAGAATGTAAAAGACAGAATAAGAAAACAGGATGGATCAATCTTCGCTTACGCTCACCATAGTCCACAGCAGTTCCTTTGCCTTTGATCGAAGAAATACGTCATAATATCGAACATTGTCCGGTCGTGTTTTAACAGCTACTATAAGCGCGTTCACAATTGCAGCTTCTAAGGTGACACCTGGTTTTATTGAACTGAATACTGTAATTAAATGCTTTTTGTCTAGAAGCAGATTGTGATAGTCGTCCACCTTTTTGTTAATATTATTTAACGATTCAGACGTCGGATATGTAACTGTTAATTCGAGGAGTTTTCTCTTGGTTTCCGTGTGAAGTGTTTTTTTAACATTTACATTTTCTCTGTTATACATTGCATCTTGTATATTTACACTTTCCGCTTCTTCTAAGGCTTGCAATTTTTCGTGCATATGGCCAAGTGTTTCGGCCAACTCGCCTGTATCCTGCAGGAATGGAAAAAGAAAAAATCATTGCATTTATTCTGTTAACCAACGTCCTCGATGTTGCATATGCTCTAACCGGTATGCAGAACGATGTTCTGCGACGTTCAAAGTTTTTTATCAATCGTTTGATCGCTATTGGAGCCCGTCTTTCCACGGGAAGACAAGTGCAAAAAGGAAAAAGAGATTATGAACTGAACATAGCTTGAAGATGCGCGCAGCCCATCATTTGCTTATTGTATAGATGTTTTTTAATCGAACGTTTATGCTAACCTTTAAAATAACAGTAGGCGTTGCCTGTTCCAAACCGTTACACAGAAGTTTTAAGGAAGCATAATCTCCCGTTAATAGAAGCATTACTACTGGTATACGATTGTGCATTACTAAACGAAAGAAAACTTAAAAGTTTGCATTTGTTTATGGCACATAATGGACACGACTAGCATACCATTGGTGGCATCGTAACCAATAATAGAATATTTTAATGCCCGGCCGAGTGCTTCTTCGATTTCTCGACGTTTCACCAATATCATATCAGGATCAAGGTATTCTCTGCCGTTATCAAATAGCAGAAAATGTGTATGATTCGGTTCTAAATCCCATTTCGTGTATTGTCGAGTATCAATCTCTTCTTCTATGGGTGTATAATCTCTAATTCGAAATCGCTGATCCTATAATCACAACTTTTAGAAAGCCAAAAAGGCATTCAGACTACACACTCACCATCTCTAGTCTGGTCAACTGAATGTTATCCAAGCTTCTTCCTGTTGAGGCTACCTCCAACTGATGATTACCTGAGTTAGAGTAAAATTTTCTATTTATAAATATTGGCTAATGGCCTAGAATTTTCTGTTGAATAATTCGCTGTCTTTAGCTCTATGTAGAGCTGGAACCGGTTGAGAAAAGATAAACCGGTCGGGTCCGGTCGGTCTGAGAGTGTAATCGGACCGGTTCGGCCGGTAAACAGGCCTGTTGGAATTACAACTCAAACCGGCGAAAGAGCATCGTCTTATTTATTCTGACTGAAAAAGACGTGAAATTTTAGTTTTGGGATGTAAAACAGGTTAATAAGAGCAGATGTTTCAAAACTTTCAACTGGTGAAATACCAGTCTCTACCGACCTGGTTGACTTTTCAACCGGTTCTGTCGGGTACCGATCTGGTCCGGCCGGAACGGTTCCAGCTCTGACTCTATGGTGTTGAAAACGGGTAATACTAGAATATGAAGACATCAACAGGCAGCACACAGACATCCATGGATGTCTGTGTAGTTATTTTTGGTTGTCTGCGGCTGTTTCTATGCTGTCTGTGGCTATCTATCAAACTTTCGAAACGGAAGTAATCATACATTCAGTATCCCAAAGTGTCATCTTTCAGAATCCATCTCAGTTTGTCAAAAATTCAATCTTTTTGGAGGCTTTTGAAAAAGATTTCTGAAAGCCCTAAAAATTATCTTTTTCTAAATTTCACATTTTAATTAAAATTTTTAAGGTTGTCCGTTTTAACAGACATGGATCTATGTTGAGCAGAGTGTTCTGATCAGAATGAGATGTCCAGATTTGTATGACTTCGTCTTGCAGCGTTATATTAGTTTTGCTAAAAGCGCTGAACTATATTCCCATTTCTTGCAGAAAGTCAAAATCTGCACAAGTTCTTTAAAGATTCTGCTTCTTGAAAGATGAAGTCCGCATAAGAACGGTAATCGGCCCACTAACAATAACCCCTCTAATCGGTCCCAACCTCATCAGAAACACATCCGATTATCATATTCGATGATTTCGACCCTTACCTTCCGGACGCTTTCAGTCGACTATACCCGACAGAATCTACTTGAAACCAAGCAACAGTTTAGCATCAACAGTATGACTGTAAAATCAACATTTCTCAGTAACCGTACTATACTAGGTAATCATTCATACATCATTCGATGCGCCTTGAAAAGCTCTGCAAGATATGTTAAAAGGAAACTGAACGAAGCCTGACAGCCGTGTTTGGGTATAAAATACTGCGCCCCTTTAACCTAGAATGGCTCCAAAACTTGCTCGCCACCTTTATTTTTGATTTTTCTCGTGGACCATACAAGCTAGAACAAATTTGAAAAAAGATTCATTCTTTTATTATTTTGAACCTAAGACATTTATCTAAAGTTTGATCCGCCGCGGTTTTTGATTTTGTTTTCTGTGCAGAGATAAGTGGCCAATACTCCGCCGAATTAGTGTTATTTTCAGAGATCTGACTTAAAATACGTGTAGGGAATGAACGGAAGCGAAATTCAAAAATCGCCGCCGATCAAATTTTAGATTTAGGTATCTACTTTCATTTCAGGCCACTCACAGCTTTCTGCACCTTCCAACAAAAAAGCCTTTATGTTTTTGCTAAGAGACCCATTTTACCTCTTGTCACGCAATAACTCGGTAGCTCTTCAAAGTTTTGATCTCGAATTCTTAGCATAAGCTAGTAGGACAGTAAGCATTAGTCAGTGGAAGCGCCATCAAAATCGGATGTAAGATAAAGAAGCTTTTTTCTGAGGGGGGGCGTCCTCTTTACACCGTTTAGACGGGAAACGAAAAAAGTCGTTTTTATGAAAAGTATGAAAATTCCGTCTAAAAGGTGTTAAGATACTACTCAATTAACACAGAGTACCTGACCACTTGGTCAGTACACACCTGTCATTCTGCTTACTTTAAGGTGTGTTTGTAACATATTCTTAACTTACTTGCTGTATAAGTCCAGCTACCAAAACCAATACAAGGCAGTTCAACTCCATACATGTCATTGTTTAATGCTTTTCCGACCAATGAAACTACATCTCTATTAAGTCCTGATGTTATTACCCAAGCACCTGAAAAAGAGAGATAGAGAGAGTGGGAGAGGGGAGTGCGATGTACGTTTACACAAGGGTACGATAACTGAGAAAAAAGATATTACTGGTTATTTTTGCGGCGGTCGCTAGACCCCTTTGAAATGTTCTTCGAGTTTCCAGGGGAATGCTTGATCCAACACGTGAATACGTCTCAGCATCGATACCTCCGGTATTAATTGATATAATTAAATCAGGTACTGGTAATTTATAGGCTTGTATTAGAAGAGCCACGATAGCTTCAGGTTTTGTATTGTACGCTAATCGAATATACTAAAGAAAAAAGACTGTCTCTACTGAAGTGCGTGAATAATTTTTTTGCTGGAGATGCCTGTGATAACCGATGTACTCCACTCGTATAATGTTCCCGTTCAAAGTTGATAAAACCATAATCGTTGGTATTTGGACTTTCGTAAAATTAAACAGAAAAGTGTATTATCATGCAGGTATTTTCTAAAATCGGACTTTGCCTACCTGCCTTTCTCGTCTGATTTTTTTATTTTATGATTGGTGACGATCTTTCAACAAAATTCTGTAGACTCAGCTCTGTTTCGAATCAGAAAAATTTCTTTAAAAACCTTACCTTTCCAACGTCCGATAGCACATTTTTTAATGAATCGTCCATATTCTTATAACGAAAATATTTTTCTAGAATGATCAGCTGTCTAGTAAACCTAAAAGGAAATCGTCTCTTTTCGTCTGTTTCAGGAATGAGACAGAAATATAGCTAAACATTTATATTTTATGTGATCTTGAAAGCTAGGCTAGCACCATGTGTTCTAGAGACAACGCGATGAAGGAAACCTGCGGTGAACACGGTTACTTGGTGGCCGCTTCTCGTTGTCTTGCTTTCTTGTTTCATCTGAGTAGGTATAGTAACTAGAGAGACGTTTGTACATCACCTTATATCTTCTTTTCGTTCTTTCTTTTCTCTATGTATAGAGATTACTGCCCGAGAGCAGTCATTTGAGAAGTCACTGTGGCAACTGCACTACTTTAGATTTGAGTAATGTTTTGTATACGAAGTGCTTTATTCAGTTTACGATATATAAATGAATCTTTGCTGTACCAAAAAATAGCATCTTCCGAACAACAGGTATTCTTAAATTCATTTCATCATTTATAGTCATTTTTTCATACTGTGTATAAAAAAAGAATTTAATAATAATAATAACATGTTTCACTGAAAAGAACTAAAAAAGTTGTTCTTTTTTCTTCTTTAAAAAAATATTGATACGTTCATTTTCTTTTTGATTTGAATTCAAATCTTTTTAAAAAGAACGTGTACGTTTTTTTATAGACACTGTTAGTTGCGTCAGACTTTGGCGTGGGCAGATTTCTGATTAGATTCTTCCGCGGCACTGTTTTTTATAAGAATGCAGAAATTTTCTCAAAAGATGGACTAGTTTAAAAGCTCATTAATAATTTTGACCTGAAAATATGGGTACTAATTGTACAAAGCAATTGACAATATCCCCTCTTGAAACACTTCCCAGAAACGAAAGAGTAGACGAACAATCTATTAGACGATTAAAGACTTTTTCATCACCCAATAACGCATTGTCTAGTAACACCACTTACACACACAGCACGAGCGGTCTTCCCGATGCTTTCACAATCCAACGGAATAACTGGACAGTTTTAAGAAACGTCAATAGTGTAAATGTTGCAAGACGATGTCGTCCACTGAGAGAACCAGCAGATGAAGAACTTAGAAGAATGGAAAATAAAGTGCCTCGAAATCGTGAATCAGCGGCTGAGTAAGTCTACTCGCCCCTCTTACTTCATGTGAATACGGAAATATACTCATAAATCAAAATTTTATTTTAGAGAGGCAACATACGACGAGTCAGTATCAGTAGAATTTATTGCTCGACGAGCTACAATGATCTTGCTCGATTGCGAAAAGAATGAACAAACAAAAGAGTTTGCCGAGTTTCTTCGAAAAATGTTTGATTACGTTCAAAGTTACGATACTCTGGTTACTTGTATTGAAAATGTAGAAAAACTACAATCAGAATACGTCTTCTTAGTATTATCACATTCAATCAATCAACACGATGCCTCTACAATCGAGAATCTACAACAAATTAAGTTCATCTATGCCTTATCGATGAACAATGACGTAAGTTGGATTACGAACATTCTTCAATCTTTTGATACTCAAGAGGATTTAGTTTCACAGCTGCACAAGGATATATCTCCCTATCGACAAGTACCCTTTCCTATAAACACATTGAGCGTGACAGATAAAGAAAAAACTGCATATGAACTAGGAAATGACACACAAAAATATATTTGGTATTATTTATTAATTGAAATATTGAATCGTATGCCAGAAAGTGATATTAACGATGCAAAAAGGAATATGATAGCAATGTGCGAGAAAGAACTCAAGCTAAATGAATGTGAAAAAGCTACTTTAAATGAATTTAACAATACCTATCATCCGAAAAAAGCTATTTTTTGGTACAGCAAAGATTCATTTATATATCGTAAACTGAATAAAGCACTTCGTACACAAAACATTACTCAAATCTTTAATTTTCGTTTCATTATCGCTGATATACGGAAACAATTAGCTACTCTTCATAGTGAACAGTGTAGACATAATCCTAGAGACCTCATTACTTATCGTGGCCAAATAATGCAAGAAAAAGACTTTAACAAACTGAAAGAGAAGTGTGGTAAGCGTATGTCTGTTTATCAGTTTTTCTCAACCACTATGGACCGACAGATGGCTCTATGCTTTATGCAGGGGGCTCTGACACGTGAATACAATGTTAGAGTTTTGTTTATAATCAAGGCGAATACGCGCAATGTCTCCTCGCAACCGTTTGCTGAAATCAGTTCAGTTAGTATGTATCCTGGCGAATACGAAGTCCTGTTTGCGTTGGATGCCGTTTTTCGAATTGCGCATTTGGAAAAGAAAGATGGATACTGGCAGATTCATTTAATCTTGGATGATAAAAGAGAAGATGAAGAGGTAGAAAGAATATTAGAAGGTTTAAAAAATCGTCTAGGTGATGTGAGTTCATTTTTAACATTCGGCGATTTTCTAATTGATCTCGGTCAGTATGATAATGCTAGAAAATATTGCGAACTGATGTTAGCAAAACTACCGCCGGGTGACTATGAGAGAGCTATGGTGTATAATAATATTGGGAAATACTATTTGAGTATCGGAGACTATGATTCCGCTAGAGATCGATTTCAGTTAGCATTTAAAATAAATAGCCTGCATTTCAAAAAGAGAGAATCACCAACAACGGTTAGTAGTGAGCTTGCAACAAAAATTCAGAAAGCACCGGCTCTCACCTGTTTTAATTTAGGATGTGTTTATTTTCGATTAGGAGACTATGATACAGCGTTGCACTATTTTGTACAGGCCTTAAGTATATGGAAGCATTGTAGTCCTGTTGACGAAGTTGAATTAGCTAAAACTTATAGTTATATAGCTCTGGCACAAAAGGGTACAGGCAATAAAGCTGAAGGACTAAAAACTGCTATGAAAGCAATAAAAGTTGCGTCAGCTGAGCATTTAGTGCGGGGATGGGCACTTTTAAGTCAGGCTGCGTGTTCCCCACTCGCCCATGCTGAAAATCTATATGTGCACGCTTTGCAAATATTCGAACTTTTTCTCCCACCTGATCATCCAGATTTAGTTTTTGCTCACTTACAAATGAGTAAATTATATCGACAGAAAGAAAATTTTTCAGAAGCATTAAGACATGATGAACAGGCTCTCAAAATATGTAATATGCGTCCGGAAAATGCTAAAAATCGAGCAGATTTTAAACTATGTAAAGAATATATGAGATTGGATAAAAATCCGCCTGTGCGAAAGTATTCTCTTTAGTTTGTACAACTTTGGTTTATTTCCTTTTTTTTTAGTAAGAATTTTCTATGTCCTTTTCTTTTTGACTGTCTTCAGGATTAGATTATTTTTCTTTCAGTGTTGTTAAGTAAAGAGTAAAAGAAATTGAAAATCGGAAACATGAGCACAGAAAGATGAGCATGGGAAAGTTGAACACTAGGAAGTGTGGGTACTAGGAAAATTGGGCATGAGGAAAGTTGAGCACAAATTTATAATTTATTCGTTAAACTTTTTGTATCATAAACAGTTGAAAAAATTTAAGAGAAAGTTAATTTAATCAATTTATTCAATGTACTATTATACGAAATATTCAATTTTTTATTTATATAATCAGCAAAGAAAGAAATATTTATTTATAAGCAAATATTATGTGCAATATTATTTAGTTGTATACGAATATCATAATGTGGATGCAATAAAAGATTTAATAAATTTTAAGTTTTAATATACTTTTATTCGTACAAATATTATATTTAATAGCTAAACGTTTCGACATTTACCAACGTCTTCATCAGTATCAGCATAACAATTTTTAGAAAAACTTGGCGATGAAATCAAAAACAACACACGTCTGTAGTTCAATGTTAAAATTAACATTGACATCCCCTTGAAAATTCAAGAAAAACCCTATCTGTCGGCTGAAAGCAGGACGAACTCCTGATATTTCTTAGCAGCATTTCTAGACAAAACTCGCTGTCTAGTCGAAAATCTTTTTCAATTATCTATAGTCAGCTAGATTAAACTCTTTTACAAAAATGAGATGACTCCCAACTCTTCACAATGTCTTTTTAAAAGGTCACGAAGCGTTTTCTAGTAGTTCGAAAAGAAACGAGACATCTGCAGTGTAACATATTTTT